ATCATCTATGGGGCCAGAACCAAGGAAATCAGGCAGCACCTGACAAGGCTGTTCCTGAGGGTATAATTCTCCCCCACTGAGAACTCCCAATCCCTATCCTCACAAAGGAATTATCTGCCTGACTTACAGCTCCCATTGCTCCACCCTGACATTTCTGAGTCTTATTATTACTTTCAGTATCAAATAGGGGAAGGATAATTATGCAAGTCATCCCTGCTATAGTTTGGCTTTGGCTATCTGCATTCATCTTAAGAGTCACATATCCATTTTCTGAAAATAGCCACCCATCCAGAGTTGTGAATTTATCCACGGGATTGGCTTTTGTCAAGGGGATGTTAAGAGACCTGATGCAAGCAGAGACTTGAAAAAGTACCACGTATTCCCACCTACTCTCTTGTGTCTCTGCCATACCATAAAAACCTGCTTGGGCCAACCCACTGGAGGAAAGCTGAGTTGTCCCGGCCATCCCAGCCAGTGCTAGTCTAGATTAGCTGATAGCTGGCCAACCCTCAGACATGTGAGCAAGCTCAGAAGGGCACCAGATGTGTGAACAATAAATGCTCACACTTGTGCACCACTGAGTTTCTGTGGTCGGTTCTTATGCAGAAATTTTGTGACAACAGATGATTGATAAAACGACTAAATAATGCTTTATCTACATTATGTGTACAATAAATGTTAGTCTTCTTCTCTTATCACATTTTATTAATATATATTGAGTAAAAGTCATTTTTAATTGCTTAACTGTGAGCTTTTGAAGAACAGAAACTATATTTTTAAAATATCAGGGATAAGGTAGTGAGAAAACATCATTCTTTTAAGAGAAAAGTAACATTTAGAGAAAAAAATTCACAAGTGTTTGAAGATAGAAACGTTAAGAGTGAGAGGATAATGCCCATTCCAATATATACCACTATCCGATAAAAGGAATCAGGGATACTTGGAGAAATGGCTGATTCCAGAGCTGAGTTGGATAGCAAACAATGCATCTGGATTATCTCACAGTGACAGAAAATAAGGAAGTACTCAAAAAAAAATTTTTATTAAGTCCTGTCAAAAAACAGACAAACAAATTTGAAGAGATTTCTAAGAGTCAAATTAGAGGCAATTTGAGCAACAAAATAAATGATGATGATAATGAATGATACCTTTAGAATAAAATAAGAGTCTCTAAGTCCATGCAAATTTAAATAACTGGACGAATGAATGGACAATTACATGCATACATAAATGGGGGTTGGTGGGGAGGGAGCTCTTCCTTACAGTAGAAGGCTAATTAATAAATTAGAAGGAAAAAGAAAATCACCATTTGGCAAACATCACAGTAATAGATGCATTAGGCAAGAATCATCAATGAACATTAAAATTAGTAGGCAAACATCGGATGTATATATATTTATAGCATTCCCTCACAAGATACTTGTCAATTATAAAGGAAAAATATAGTTAATTTTACAGTGGAGAAATTTATCAGTCTCTTAACCAAGTGATAAGTCTGAAACCAATATCAAAGTTACTAAGGCTGATTTTTTGTTTTTATTTTTGTTTTGTTTTTTCAAAAATCCAGGAACTGACTTGAAGAGGTTCCCAATCTGAGCATCAAAAAGAATAATAATTACAATGGATTGAAACCCATCAAATATGTTTAAATTACATAAAAGGAAAACCTAATTGGTCACTTTTTAAGGATGCTATAGAATCAATTTTTATTTCTCTTTATAGAAGTATTATAACAAATAAAGAAAGAATTATAGAATTAGAAGATCACCATTTTGTAAACCCTAAGGAATTAAAAAAGAACTCTGGTGATGTAGTGCCTAAGGCATTTGACTGGTGACCAGAAAGTTGCCAGTTCAAACCCACCAGCCACTGTGTGGAAGGAAGACTGGGCAATCTACTTCCGTAAGAATTTACCACCTCAGAAACCCAAAGAGCATCACTATGAGTCAGAATCGAAAGACTCTAAACACTGAGCATCAATTGAGCTTAAAAAAAAAAAAAAAAACCTTATAAAATGAAAGACAAATGTGATTTTTGATGAATAGAATCCTACAAAAATGGAAGAAAAAACCATGCTCATGAATAAGGTGGCTTAATATTGTGAAAATGTCAATAATACCCAAAGTGATCTACAGATACAATGCAGTCCTGGCCCAGAGTCCAGTAGGAGGCCTCACACTCCCCAATCTCAAAAATCTACTATATAGCCATGGTAGTCAAAACAGTCTGGTATTGGTACGATGACAGACACTTAGACCAAGGGAACAGAATTGAGAATACAGAAGTATATCTATCCACCTATGGACAGCTGATCTTTGACAAAGGGCCAAAACCTATTAAATGGGGAAGAGATAGTCTCTTTAACAAATGAGGTTGGCAAAATTGAATATCCATTTCCAGAAAAATGAAACAGGATCCATATATCTTACCATATACAAAAACTAACTCAAGATGAATCAAAGACCTAAATGTTAAACTTAAAACCATAAAGATCATCAAAGAAAAAATAAGGGCAAACATAGGGGCCCCAACAGATGGCATAAATACACTATCAAACATAACTGAAAACACACAAACAACAGAAGACAAACTAGATGACTGGGATCCCCTAAAAATTAAACATTTATGTGCATCAAAAGACTTCGCCAAAAGAGTAAAAAGAGAACCTTTTTGGCAAAAACATATCAGACAGGGGACTAATCTCTAAAATGCACAGAAACTTCAACACCTCAACAACAACAAAAAGATACACAATCCAATTAAAAAATGGGCAGAGGACAGGAATAAACATTCCACCAAGAAGACATTCAGGTGGCAAAAAAACACACAAAGAAGCTTTCACAATCATTAACCATTAGAGAGATGCAAATCAAAACAACAGTGAAATACCATCTCATCCCAAATTAATAGGAAAAGAAAAGAACAAATGCTGGCAAGGTTGTGAATACACTGTAACCTTCATACATTGCTGGTGGGACTGGAAAATGGTATAGTGCTTCCTTAAGTGTTAGAAATATAAATATCATATGATCTAGTAATCTCACTACTAGGTATATATCCTATAGAAATAAGACCTGTGACGTCAAATAGGTAAAAGCACACCCATGTTTATAGCAGTATTATTCACAACAGAAAAAAGATAGAAACAACCTAAATGCCTATCAATGGGTGAATGGATAAACAAACTATGGTACATAGTTACAATGGAATATTATGCAATGTTAAAGAGAAACAGTGAATCTGCAAAACATCTCCTAACATGGATGAACCTAGAGGACATTATGCTGAGTGAAATTAGTCAATCACAAAAAGACAAATATCATATGAGACCAACACTGTAAAAAGTCAAGAAAAGGTTTACACGTGGAAAGAAACAGTCTTTAAAGATTACCAGAGGTAGGAAGGGAAAGGAGAGTAAATCACTAACTAGAGGGCAGACACGTATTAACTTGAGTGAAGGGAAAGGCAATATACAATAAGGGGGAGGTCAGCACAAAACGATCAAGCTGAAGAAAGATGGCGGGAGGAGCACAAGAGTTAAAAGCAACAGAAGTAAATACAATTTATATTGCCAAAACAATAATCTGCAAGTAGATACATAGACACACAAACTGAACAGTGGTGGGAAGGCCAATGGGACTTCCCATGAATACTTACAGGCTTGACAGAAGATATTTCTACATATAAATTTACATGTGCTGCAAACATATTCATGAATATAGTAGAGCATACTAAGTTATGAAAACTTCTTAGCCATAAGCAAACACTTGGAGGGAATGAGTCAATAGGCCTGGGGTTCAGGACTATAGTCTTGGGGAACACCAAGGTCAATTGACATAACATAGTCCACAAGGACAATGTTCTACATCCAGCATTCATGAGTAGTGACTAGGGTCTTAAAAGTTTATGAGTGGCCATCTACGGTACAACAATTGGTCTTTCCCCATTTGGAGCACAGAAGAGTCGAGACAATAAAAGATTCATGGAAACAATTAGTCTGAAGAACTAATGGATCATGTGGAACCCAGCATCCACTACCCTGAGACCAAAGGAACTAGATGGAGTCCAGCTACCACAGCCAACTGCTCTGAAAGGGATCATAATAGGAAGTCCTGGACAGAGTGGGAGAAAAATGTGGGACAATACTCAAAATAATAATAATAAAGACTAGGCTTACTCTGTACAACTATAAGACCAGAAGAACTAGATGGTGCCCGGCTACCATTGTCAACCACTCAGAGGGGTATCTATGTAGGAGATCCTGGATAGAGAGGGAGGACAATGTAGAACAAAACTCAAAACCATTTGGAAAAAAAAAGGGGGGGGTGCGACCAGGTTTGCTGGTCTGATAGAACCTGAGGCAACCACTGAGACTATGGCCCCTAGCTGCCCTTCAGGTCTGGAATTGAACCCATACCTGTGGCTTCCAGCCAAACAAAAGATAGGCATAGGAGTTGAACATTTACCTGAGGTAGATACATTCCTTGGAGAGAACAATCATGGGAGAAAGAAGAGCTGTTTATGCAGCAGGGAGACAGCTCAGGGGGCAGGAGT